AAAGATCAAAAACGCCGGCAGTTCGAAGAGGAGCTAGCATCCTCGGCCGCAACTGCACCCAAGCGAATATTTGCCTACTTGAAACGTCAACTGAAACCTGGAGACGACCTACCGGTCTTAGAGAGCTTAGACGGGAAGACACTCATTTCAAGCGCGGAGCGCGCGGACGCCCTGGCTACGCACTTCCTCACTGTATTTTCCAGTAAACCGGCGGCTGTTCCAGTACCAGCACAGGTTGCGCCAGTCTTGCTCGACAGCCTACAATGTGATGCAGTCGAAGTACATCAGCTACTCGTCAACCTCAATGGTGCAAAGCCCCCCGGGCCAGACGGACTTCACCCACTAATACTCAAGTCCCTATCGATTATCATCTCACCAGCTGTGACAAACCTTTTCAATAGATCGCTCTCTGAAGGATCTGTCCCCAACGACTGGAAATGCTCGATAGTTAAACCGCTTCCCAAGGGTGGTGATCCGAGTAAAATAGAGAACTATAGACCGATCTGTTTGACTTCGGTATTATCCAAAGTTCTCGAGAAGGTTGTGAAAAATGTCTGCTGTCGTTCTTCGAATCGATGGACATATTGACGCCAGCGCAACACGGCTTTACGAAAGGGCGATCCTGCATCACCAACTTGATGTACGCAAACCACCAGTGGGTTCGAGCTCTCAATGAACAGAAGGATGTTGACGTGGTGTACATCGACTTTAGTAAGGCGTTTGATAGAGTGAACCACGAGGTACTCCTTCGTAAACTGAGGACATACGGAATCGGTGGCACGTTACTTCTGTGGATACAAGAGTTTATTGTGGGACGAAGGTTTAGAGTACAGGTCAATGACTATCTGACAGAATGGTTCCCATCGACCAGTGGCGTGCCTCAAGGAACTGTACTTGGGCCAGCATTATTTCTTATTCATATCAACGATCTTCCGCAGCAGCTCCAGTCACCATGTGTCCTGTTTGCAGATGATTTGAAAATCTGGAGGATCATTGAAAACCAGGACGACTGCGCTCGCCTCCAGCATGACTTAGAGCGACTGTCAACGTGGTCCACTGAAATGCAACTCCCTCTTAACGCAAGCAAGTCGGAGTTCATCAGTATCACCAGACGTCCAGCCACTCGATCATACACCTTGGACGGCCAGTTGCTCCATCCCAACACATCTGTCAGAGACTTAGGAGTTCTCTCACGACATGATTTAAGATCACTAGAAAATACAGAGAAATTGTACCGTGCGGGACTTCGTATGCTCTGGGCATTACGACGCAGTTTCTCCACATGGTCCGAAGAAACCGTCCCTCGTCTATTCACCTCGCTCATTAGACCAATCCTTGAATACGGTGCCCCAGCTTACCATCCGATAACCCAGTGGGAAACTGAAAAATTGGAGAAAATACAGCATATCGCAACTAGAATGATACCAAGTCTACGAAGGCTTCCATATGAAAAACGTTGTGAAAAGCTCGGACTCTACACACTATCCTATCGCCGAGTAAGAATTGATCTTATTATGACCCATCGAGTACTACACTTGAATCACTTCCCCATACTACGGCCAATATTTCACCTGCGAGAACCCTGTAACACCCGAGGACATCGTTACAAACTCAGGGTCCCCAGCATGAACAAAGTATCACATCAGCTTTGTATCGAACGAAGAATCGTAAACTTATGGAATACACTACCTGAAGGATTAATAGAGGCCGATTCTGTGAAGTGTTTTAAAACCCGTATCGACGATTATTTTGCAAGCCTGTGCTTTTGTGAAACGATGCACATACAGTGCCAAAAGAATACATTGTATGTCCGGAAATAATGACGCTAGTACAAATTTCTAACCGAACACGGATAAACGATTAACGGACCAGACACAACTGCTGATAATTCACAAGTAAATTTTGATTTTTCGTAATTCGATAGAGTTGTACAGAAACCTTTCTACTTGCTCTTAAATACAGTATCAGTATCAGTAACCACTTACACAACATCAGCTATAATGCATCGTGGTTCACCGTATCAAATGCCTTGGTGAAATCAACAGAAAGCGAGTACAACGGCTGATGTCGTTCTCTACACTTCTCCTGCAAATGACGAGCCACAAACACCACATCTATGGCGCTACAAACTGTACGGAATCCACAGTGACCTTCCGCCACGTTCGGTATATATATATATATATATATATATATATATATATATATATATATCACTTCCTACCTTGTGGTTACGCGAGACTTCGCAGTGACGCATATTCCTTCTCCCTCTTTATCTACGTGTACGTATGCGGGTTTTTGTTTATCCTATTCCTTTGTCCCACCGCTCTGGACTCGTTGTTTACGGAGTGACCTCGAACAGTATGTCCGGAATCCCCACGCATCGCCCCGTCTTGTTCAATCATGAGATAAATTCTTGCACTGTACATTGGAACGAGTATGTCTATTTATCGATCAAATGCAGCCTGCAGGCACTACAGAAGGTGAAAAATTGATGTTCATGCATTTAATTAATGCATTGTAAACAGCACCGTGGATTTTGGATCCAGGAAAAAGGCAGCAGTACGCAGTACCGACGCTTCGCTGTCGCACATGGGCCAAGGATACTGCGAGGATCATCCAGTCCCCTACACAGGCTCGAACCCGCGCCCTCGGACCACAAGGCAAGCTTGCGATCCTTAAGGCCACGGGCCGGCGATCTAACCTTTGTTTTGATTAAATTGGGATCGTTTTCTACACGTTAGCTAGACGATAGCATTGGGTCGTAACACAGAACTTTCAATAGCGTGAGACAATAGCAAACCAGCTGTAAGATGTTTCTTCTGTATGAGGAAAATAGTGGACCCCGCTAGTCAAAATATACAACCCAAGATGTGTCAGCAGTTCGTAACGGGCGTCGCTCAATCTTCCCCCATAGCCACCAAACCAACTCATGAGTTTGTCGGATCTCAACCCACCTTTGAGTTGCCAGTCGGAACGTGGCGTTATTCCGTAAACAGTGAGTAGAGGTACAGCGCGACTGTTGCAGTAATTCACAGTCGAACGGCTGTAAACCGGGTTGATGTGATAGTTCAAACAGAACTGCGGTAGCAAAGGAACAAAGATACTTAAAAAAACACTCAAGAGAATGAAGTGTTCGCAGTTTGGAGGTGTCTGATGTGCTGCAGTTGTCGGTGGCACAAGAAACATTTGTGACAAATGTGCCCAGTTGACGGAAATCTGTGCAACTTGCAAACAATGAGTGAAGTCTGAGCACCCGTCGTTACTACAATCCTAACGACCACATGTTTTGAATAGGGCTGTGACACTCGGTCAGTATTGTACTCAATTTCTGACGACACTTCCAGACAGGATACCAATCTGTCCTTGTAAAAGGAAGTTAGCAAGAAACTCGGACCTCCAACAAACAACGCAATGAATATAAACACCGGACTCGAACAGCATCGACATGCTGAATAGCTAATGGTGTCAGCAAAGCCAATTAAGAATCAAACGCATTCCAGGTATATCCAAGGAAGCAAAATGTACCGTAATGTGAATCTACGTTGGTACCATACAGTTGATAGACATGACTAGTTAATGTATCGCTGTGAGTTATATAAATTGAGCAAAATGCCGGCTTTAGACTATTTGCTGCATTTGCGCGCAGTGCTTCGCAAACCTTCAGAAGCTACTAAACACAGAGCCGTCGTTTTGAACATCGTGGTTCTTCGATTACTTTTGCGTTCCGAGTGACAGAAGTCATTTAAATGGCTGAGTATCCCAAAGGACAGATTTAGAGAATCGTGTCTACCGACATCATCATCAATATACACGCTAGCTGCAGGTGGAAAACACCTCAGCTATGGTGCTGCAATACAAAAGAGAGGAAAAAGTCACGCCGGCTGAGTCATCAGTAACAGATGGACATCTTTCCGGAGAGCTAACAGCCAGCTATTGTGCCACAAAAGTCATATAATCCCTATTAATTGAGATCGCGGTTGGAGGGGAGACTAAGCGGAGGGTGATGGTCAAAGGAACTCGCAAACATCATTGAAGTCTGCTCCTAGCCGTGTCAACAAGTGTATCCAACCAAACGTGTTCATCGTCCTTCGGTCCTCAATCAGGGAGCCGAGAAAGCCTTCATTCCTCCTGACCAATTGGTCGCTTGACTACCTCCTCTTCTTCCATCCGCACCCCTGGCGCGCAAAAAACGCACGTCGCGGAGTCGGTGGGCTGGCATGCGCAACGCGTGGCCCAGCCATCGGAGCCTGGTGCTTGAAATAACGGTGCTGAGTGGTTCGCTTCTTCCTTTTGCGCCGGCCCGTAGCCTAGAGCTAACGAGCTTCTCTCGTAAGCTTGCGGCGCGGGTTCGAGCCTGCGTAGGGGCAGGGCGACTCTCGCAGTATTCTTAGCCCACGTGCGACTGGCGGCAGTTGCGCGGCAGCGAAGCGTCGGTACTGCGTACCGGCGTAGTGCTGATGCCTGCGCCATAAACAAGGCGTCGAACACGCTTATTGCTCACACGATGTTGCCACCAGACATGAGCCAAACTACGAAGACACCGGTGGTCGAACGTAACTAGACGCTTTATGTCCGCTGATGTAAGGGGCCAGGTTTAACAACCGTACAGTAGGATTGAACGTACGGTTGCGTTGTATACTCTGCTCTTCAGGGAGAGAGCGATGTCGCACCGGCGTCATAGGTGGCGAAGGCTAGGAAAAGCGCCTCGTGCTTTTGGTGTAGGGTTTGTGACCTCGTCTTCAATTCCAACGACGCTGATATAACTGTGTTTACTGACAGTCACAGAAGGCCCCAGAGCATCATCAGACGCACCAATCCGTGGTCAGTCAAAAAGGGGCCGATAAGGACCAATGCGGCTGAAGTCAGACGACTTGGCTACGGTAACAATAAGACGAGGGTCCCTCCGCATGAAGTGCTGAGGTCGTTCATGGCAAGATATAAAGTGTAGGATATTTAAAAGCTAGCACAAATGTAACCAGTACGGTGGAATAGCTGTTTACTTCTATCCTTTCTTCAGTATTTTTAATCGACTCATTTCTTCTTAAGCTTGCTCCATGTTTTTCCGCCTGGAATGCCAATGGTAAAACAAAAAATACCTCCAATTTCGTTTTACGGCGTTCAACTTCGGCGTTAAGCCTTTCCTGCATCCTGATGCGTGAGGCCTCCAACGCCTCTCTCTTCTTGAGTTCGTCCTCAGATACTATGGAGAAATGAACTATTTGCACGTCTTACCCGTTATAGTGCGTCCGACAGAATTGACGTGACCCCAATATCTTCTCAAGAACACCAGCAGTACACCGAAGGCGACAAGAATGACCCAACCTGAAGGAAACAGGAAGGACGGCGTGAGAACTCCGCTTTTCTTTTCATCGAATGTGCCCTCGAGATCGTCTTCAACCTCCACCACAGCGTCCATCGATGATCGCTAATGTACCGTTGCTTGTGCGATGAGATTCTGGATGGACAGCGATAGCGAAATGATCATCGAATATAGGCCATTAAATGATCTAAATGAAGAAAGAATAATAATGTAATAATAAGGTGTCAGCTTATACGCCGTAACGGCGCTTCGCTGCCGCGCGACCACCACCAGTCGCGCGCGGGCTGAGTATACCGCGAGGACGCCCACTCCTACGCGGATTCGAACCGGTGACCTTATGGTTGGAAAGCAAACGTGCCGACCACTCGGCCACCGGCCGAAGAAAGAATAATGTGCTGGGACGTCATTCAACCGTAACGCATAGTCCATAGACAGAGAAACATTGTCCGATGACGAGCTAAAAAGGCTATAAAAAATTGCCAATAGATAGGGTCAAGTGAGACTAAAGCGAAAGAATCTATGACTGTATCGTCATGACTCAGCCGGTAAAATAGGATAAGGCTGGATGCTTCAAAATCGTGAATACTCTGGGTAGAAACATCTAAATCACACTCTAGCCAACCAATTAATGCTTACGTCACACATCGGAGGTCCAAGTGAGGTTACATATAGTTATACGTCAGCTGTGCGCCGTAACGGCGCTTCGCTACTGCGCGACCACCACCAGTCGCGCGGGGGCTGAGCATACCACGAGGGCGCCCGCCCCTACGCGGATTCGAACCGGTGACCTTATGACTGCAAGCTAGGCGTGCGGACCACGGCTACCGGCCGTAAGCCTATAGCATGAAGTGAGAAGAAGTTGAAGAACATGGCCGGCTAGGAATAAAGGGATTAGACGCCGCCATCAGGTCAAGTTCAGGCCCCAACGGCATATGGTTTAGCGGCGTTTTATTGCAAGCAAATTTTAATTAACAATGATCGAGAGTGATGAACGAGTTTCGACCGAAAGTATGGCAACTCGGCTCGACGGCGACGCGTATTTTGGAATAAATTCCTCGTATCTGGCTCTGCCAACGATTATGAGGAGTACAAAAGGCATCGGAATCTATGCAACAGCGTAAAAGCGTCGTGAGTTCGAAGGAGTTTGAAACCTCAGCGAAGACGGCCCCAAAGAAGATTTTTGCTTATGTGAAGCGGCGCCTGATGCCCGCAAGTGACGTAGCTGTGTTAGATAGCCTCTGACCTCCAGCACTGAACGTGCGCCGGCACTGGCAGGGCACTTCGCTTCCGCACTTACAAGTGGGCATGTGCTTATGCCGAACTCGACGTATCAAGCCCCTTCTGAACTCGAGGTCCTGGATTGCGGTGTCATCATCAACAACACCAGTACATCTGCCGTTTGAACAGATGGTTCGGTGCCATACAACCATGATGACCTATGAAATAAAGAATACTAAGAGGAAGATAGGGGAGACTTACCTGAAAACCTTAATGCCCTAAGCAAATATTCAGGGTCAAGGCGCCTACACCTTGTGTAGACAACATACCGTCACAAACAGCTGGCTATCGTGCAAAGATAAGGCGGCATCGGCGAGACAGCTTCCTTGCGGCTTTCACTGCCCCGCGTCATAATCAGCCATTACCCCGCAGATAACTCAGCACCAAGCATACTTTAAACAGGCAATCCGATTAGAAGACGGCAGCAGACGCGCCACTGGTGTCGGTTGCGAGCCATGTCCTATAAAGTCTTGAGCCAAGCACAAGGCGAGTCACGTGGACCTCGGCCCGGAATGCGAGATAGACCAACGGCACACAATTTTGTCGTCAGCTGGCTATCGTGCAAGGATAAGGCGGCATCAGCGAGACAGCTTCCTTGCGGCTTTTACTGCTCCGCCTCATAATCAGCCATTACCCCGCAGATAACAGCACTAAACACACTTTAAACAGGCAATCCGACTAGGAAACGGCAGCAAACGCGCCAATGGTGTCGACTGCGAGCCAATCACAAGGCAGGTCACGTGGACTCTAGCCTGAAAAGCGAAACGGACCGTCGGCACCAAGTTTGGTCGTCAGTGACTTCATTTCCCGCTGCCAAGTCAACTTCTGTCCACCACGTGGTTTGCGCCACCCAACACCTGGCAGACTAAACAAGGCCCTTTTAGGTAAGCGGTGACCAAACATACGTAGCATGTGCCCAAGCCAAAGCAACTTATTCAATGCTATCTGTTGTTCTAAGGAGCTAGCATGATTATCATTACCTAGTACTCGCCTACGCACATCATCGCTGCGGACACGCTGGTGCCATCCGACACCAGCAAGGCTCCGCAGACAACGATGATCGAAGAATTGAAGGCGTCTCAGATCTTCAGACCGAAGAGGTCAAGTCTCACTCCCATAGGACAGGACGGCCCTCACTGTGGCCTTGTATACAGTGTTTCAGACGGATGGAAACCATTCTGTCGCCAAAGATGCCGCAGGTTCAAGAAGGCAGTTCTGGTCTTTGCAGTGCGTGAAGTGAATTCAGTTTCTATGCGTCCATCGTTGCTGATGCCGCTTCCAAGACAAGTGAAACGATAAACCACCACGAGTTCCTCGTTATCAAGCGTCAAGGGGGCATCAAGTGGCTGGTGGTCCTGCAGCAACGCCCCATTGAAGATGCGAAGCGCATACCAAATAATGAGACCACTTTAGACAGACTATTCAGGGTTGATTGTGCCGCCGCAACATCGTCGAAAAGCAAGACGATATCGTCCGGATAATCAAAATCAACTAACCTTTCTCCAGGCAGGACCTCAACGCCTACATCGTCAGATTCCGCAAAGGAACATTCCACGATAGAGTCCACGATGAAATTGAACAAAAATGGGGAAGTCGGACAACCCTGACGAACGCCACTTGTGATCGGAAAGCTATCCGACAGGTCACCGTAGACCCTGATGCAGTCTGTAGTTTCCGAATATAGAGTAAATATGTCATTGGAACACCTTTCCGAGCAAATGTTTCGAACAGAATGCATCAATCGACAGAATCGAACGCATTCTTAAAATCAAGGAACACATCTATTGTGCGGTCTGGGGTATGCGTGACGCCGCTCTAATACCTGTCGCAGAGTGAATATATGGTCTATACAACCAAGTCCTGGGCGGAAACTTGCCTACTCTTCCCAAATCCGGGATTCTCGTTCCACAGTGAGGCGATGAACGAGAATCAAGGCCAGTAATTTTGTCACAACTGGCGTTAGGCTGATACATCTGCGGTTAGAACAGCCGGTGCGACTGCTCTTCTTGTATATTGCCAGTAGAATCGATTCGGTCTAGTTAGCCGGGACACTTCCAGAAACGTTCGAATAAGGTCAGTGCTTTGCAGAGGATCTCACCTCCATCCTTAAATATTGCAGGTGAGAGGGAATCCAGGCCAACGGCACGAAAATGACCGAGGGCAGTGATCGCATTTCAGAAATCGGCCTTCGACAGAGGCTCTAAACTAACCGTTCATGGTTTGTCCTGCATCACCTGAGTAGGAAGAGGGCCAGGAGCAGGGAGCCAGCTGAACTGTTCTTGAAAGTGTTCTGCCCAATGAGCCATACGGCGCTCCTTATTGTGTATCAGTGCACCTGCTCTGTCTCTGATTGTCTCACTGACGCCTGGTTTCCTGGGACCAGTGGTGCGGACCAGCTGGAAGAGCTTGCGGTAATTGTCTACTGCTCCTGCCTCCTCCATTTCTTGAGCCCAACTGGTCCACCAGGCTTCCTTGTCAGCATGTAGGCTCCGCTTTAGTTCGCGTTTAATAGTCCGTCTGGTCACACTGTGCTCAGAGCCAGCCGGAAGGTTTCTAGATTCCAACAGGTTCACCGACCTCATGGATATTTAATGACTGGTGCGGTGACAATTGACAGTGCCACAAGCGGATACTCCTGCGTCGCGCATGGCGATCGAGATCCTATTCCATTGAAGCTGTGTCATTAGGACAATTTCTCAGTTGCCGATCAGAGGAGACGCTTGTTGCGCCTCCCGGTAAAGTTCATGGAGAAACGACAGCGTACTAAGGCATGATCAGAGTCGACGCAGGTATTCCAGTACGAGGGGCCATCCAGGATGGAACCACGCGGTCAATCTGGGTCCATCGCTGGACAGCTACAGCAGGACGTCAAGTGGCACTTCGGTGCCAACTGTGTCCAAAAACAGTGCTACTAACAACTGGTGCTTCGCACACAGTTGCAACAGACGCTCGCCGTTGTCAGTCCGTTCGGAGTTAAGTCCATAATTACCATCTAGCTGAGCTTCTGAAGAGGTAATACGCCCTAATTGTGCTTTCATATCTCCTGCAAGTATTATAATATCTGAACTAGTAGTACTGCTTAGTAGCGCTTTCAGTTCGTGATAGAATGTCCTTCGCAGCATCAGAACTGGGGTCGGCGGGAGTATAAGCGGAAACAAAAAGCGTTTGTACCACTTTTTGAATCAACCTTAGTTGATTTCGTCAAACGGGCTGCACATAAATGGCTGTTCACTGGAATCCAATCAACCAACGATGGGCTTGGAGCTTAGAATGATACCTACACTAGCTTGACCCTTGAATGCTGTATTGGCGTCTCCGGATGCGTGCAAACAATAGCGAGAGGACAAACCGGGCGCAGTTACTTCAACAACCCCATTAGGGTCATTGAGCGTAGTTTCGGACACACAACATATCGATATCCAGTGTATCCAAGGCGCGTGCGAGTGTAGTCAGTGGACCTATCTGTCTTAGAGTGCGAACGTTGAATGCCGCCAGGGAAACGGGACAGCCTAATAACAGAATGTTGTTGATGGGCGTCCGATGGGTGTTGTGGGAAGGTGTCTGCAGAAGGTTCTATTTCAGTGGCACTTCGGTTGCTGTCAATTAAGCTGGGAATTATAAAATGGAGGTTGGGATGGGAATAAAAGAAACAGGTGGAAAAGAGGTGGCGCCAGCAGTAGTGTGTTTTCGCTTATCCGCCATGCTGTATGCAGCAGACGAAGCGACCCTTGATGATTAAGTTTATGTTTGAAGAAAAAGTCATGGATGTATGTGGGCTGATACTGCCAGGGCGCCCAGACCTAGACAGGAGGACGACTGGGGTCCTCAACCAAAGCCTCTGGTTCAAAAGCCTGTCCGCAAGGCAGCGGGGGCTGGCAACTATTTAGTTTTACAGAAATGGACGCCATG